GATTAGAGGCGTGAGCCACCGCACCTGGCCCAGAATATTTAGTGACTGATGTCAGGCCTACGTGTTGATAGTGGGTAGTAGTGGGCAGATGCCTGGCTCTCTCTCTTTCTTCTCATGAGCAAGTCAGTATCACAGAGGTTAAACATATCTTTAAGTAGCATTTAACTTAAAATTTTTTTAATAAAAAAGAAATAATTTGTAAAAATATTGCATCCCCTATTAATCTTGCTGGAAGCTATTTGTTCTTAGCAGAAATGAGAAGAAAGTGTGTTTTGCTTAAAAAAGAAGTGAGTTGTTCATCATATTTCTGGATCTCATCTAGACTTGGCCTCACAGTTGGTGAACAGCCCAGGAATAGCCAATGTCTTAGCTTTGGAACGTTTGCCACTTTCCAGCTACAGCTGGATCTTATATCCTGGTTTGCTTCCTGATGACTTTCAAATTCTCCTGATCCAAACGCAAGCGCAGAAGCACGAGCACATTGTTGGTGGCAGTATTATAGACTGAAACACCCTCTTTGGATGGCAGTTCCTCTCATAGGACTTCATTCTCCAGGTGTGCACAGGTACACACAGGAGCCCAAAGGATAAACACAGAGATTTATTGAAGCATATTTGTATTACTGAGAGATTAGAAATATCTTAAAATGTTAACCAAATCACTTGGATGAAAAGTTTTGCTCTGCTTATTAGGTTTGGCATACAATGTGGAAGTGGCATCTATCACTTCCGGTGTATTATGGATACTTTAGCTCAAAAACTAAGACCTGTACCTAGATGGACACCAAAAGGGACTGGTAAACAAATATTGCATATACAGGGGTGTGGGGCGGCTCCGGGGCGGGGGATGGCGGCAGCCTCGGTTGCCCCGGCTCCAGGACGACCAGGTGGATCCCAGAAGCACTGTGAAAAGGGCTGGCTCCTGAGCCAGCCGGGAGGACACTTACTACAGCTGCTGAGAAGCACTACTGGAAGTTCAGATGTGGCTGCCCCCGCCAGAAGCAGAGAAGGGTACAGAGAAGCTACAGAGAAGCCCCTCCTGATGCCCCAGGGAGCAAGCCGACTCCTTCCAGGCTCCGGGAACACCACAAAGCAATATGAAACCTGTTCATGAGAGGAGTGAGGAATGGCTTCCACCAAAGAAACGAGACCTCCCTGTGACCAGCCAGGCGCAGTGGCTCAGGTCTGTAATCCCAGCACTTTGGGAGGTCGAGGTGGGTGGATCACCTGAGGTCAGAAGTTTGAGACCAGCCTGGCCAACATGGTGAAAACCCGTTTCTACTAAAAATACAAAAATTAGCCAGGTGTGGTCACACATGCCTGTAATTCCGGCTACTTGGGAGGCTGAGATGGGAGAATCACTTGAACCTGGGAGGCAGAAGTTTCCTTGAGCCGAGATTGTGTCACTGCACTCTAGGCTGGGTGACAGAGAGAGTCTCCATCTAAAAAAAAAAAAAAGTATGCCAAATCAAACAAAAATTACAGAAATCTATCATAGGATAGCTGGGCACGGTGGCTCATGTCTGTAATCCCAGCACTTTGGGAGGCCGAGGCAGGTGGATCATGAGGTCAGGAGATCGAGACCATCCTGCCCAATATGGTGAAAACCTGTCTCTACTAAAAATACAAAAAGTAGCCAGGTGTGGTGGTGGGCGCCTGTAGTCCCAGCTGCTCAGGAGACTAAGGTAGGAGAATCACTTGAACCCAGGAGGCGGAGGTTGTAGTGAGCCGAGATCGCGCCACTGCACTCCAGCCTGGGCAACAAGAGCGAAAACTCTGTCTCAGAAAAAAAAAAGAGAGAAATCTGTCATAGGATTATATGAGGAAACCAGTTTTATTTATATAGGAACTACCTATCTTTTGACTAGGTCTCTGAGCTCCGGGCAGAGCCCACACTGAATCCTGGGTCTCCAAAAAGGGAGAATTATTATGACGCTAGACCATGTGATGCTTTCACAGTGCACTTAAAAAGTTTTTTTAAACGAAGACACTTCTAATGTCTAAACTACACTCTTCCTTGAAAAAGCCTTTGGTGCAATAACTCTTTTAGTCAATGAGTCAGGTAACACAATACAAAAGCAAGCAGCGTAAGAGCTGAGATGAACTTGTCTGCTTATACTCTTGGGGTTTCATAAGGAAAAACAGGTTTCTCCCCAAAAGGGCATCTGGCGCCTTCTCTGCTTTCTTGAAGGAAAGTCAGGCTATTATAAACTATAATATTTTAGGTCCCTTATGCAGCAGAGGGTGCGAGAGAGAGAGAGACAGCAGAAGTAAATGAAAAAAAAAAAACAGAATTCAGTCAACTGAGAAAAAAATCTTTAGCTAGAAAAAAAAAGAGAGAGAGAGACACAAGGTCCTAGGAGAAAAAAAAAATGTGAAGGCCTTTTCAATACAAACACACACATATACACACACATACACACATGCACAAACACACACACATGCACACACAAACACATCCACATGCATACACACACATGCACACACATACACACACGCCCAAATACACATGAACACACACATACACACATGCACAAACACACATGCACAAACACACATACACACACGCACAAATACACATGAACACACACACATACACACATGCACAAACACACACACACGCACACATCTTGGATGTTAGCTTTTAGTTAAGCTGACTTTTAATCATTGAGCTCCTTTTAAAAAACCTTTTTAAATCTCATTACCATAATTCAGCTAGAACAAATTGCTGCTATTTCAGAAGTGCCAAGTATCAAACCAGAATTAGCTTGATTTAGGAACAACACCAAAGCAGTCGTGGTGGTAAAAAAGAAGCCAGAGCCCTTAGCTATGGAACTGCAGTGTGGGGTGACAGCCATTGCCCTTTCAGTTTGGCCTGGCTAGCAAAAAGGTGGCCTTGTTATGTAAATAAGTCCCCTTAAGTAATCAAAATAAAAAATCTTTCCTACTTTTTTT